AGAGAAATGAAGCACAAGTGCGCCTTTTGTTGTGTGAAAGAGACACACTCACTGACAGACAAGGGATCAGGAGATGGTGGGAGCGATACACACCCAACGACAAGTCTGTCAAACACTGTATTATTGTGTGAAATGGAATAAACTTGGAGCCTCCTGGACCAGAATCAGAGCTACTTTTTCATCAGGGGAAGTGGCTTTGAAGCCCCCGTTCCTTGACACTCTGATCCGTCCACCCTGTAATGAATGAGGTGGCTGTTAAAGGATGAAAGGCAGGTGTTCACGCTTATGTGCGTTTGTGAGAATACACACTTCTGAACTCCATATGTGCAACAAACAACCAAATGTAAACTAAAAAACGAAGACGACGAATGTTTGGCGCTGAAAACATCTTAGTTATTCACGATTGAGGTTGTTTCTGATAACATCATGTAACTAAAATGACCCATTGGAGAAAACAATTGAACACTGGTAATTGTATTGTTTCATGGGAGCTGTGAACAAAGTGAACATTGGGTCTGAGAATTCAGAGGTTTTTGTTATTTGACCTGATGCTGCTGGTACAACAAAAATACCAGGAGGTACCCACTGTCCAACTATCTAATCTAATGATCTCACACATGCCTGCTAAAAACAAACTAACTTTTAAGATACAGTAATGTTGGATAACACACGCGTGAGTTCAGGCTTGTAGTTGAGAGCAGTGATACAAGGTTGTTGTTGTTTTTTTGCCTTGTTGCAGTCATCCTGCAGTTTTAATTTATTATTTCCTGACTTCTGAGCATTAACTTAACAGCTACATTGTTTTTACTCATGCAGACTCCCATATAAGAAGGAAGAACCATCTGGGGCTTTTTTCCCCCCAATCAAAGATTTTCTATAGGATTTTCTGACCATTTTTAACATAATGGTGAACATCGTTGTGAGTGATAGCCCGCCTGAGTCTGGAAGAACTATAATGGCTCAAGGAGTGGGTTTGGATGGGCTGGGAACTGCCACTGGCTTTGTGGTAAGTTTCAGCTGTGATTTGCAGCTGAGATTCCCACATGACATGTGCAGGGTCAGCCTCGGAAATGGAACCATAATGACCACAAAAGAATGAATCTCTCGTGTCACTTGTCTCCTCCTTGCCGTTCTCTCCCCAGTCCCAGATATGTCACCCAGTTCCTCCTTAGTTGGATTGTGCTTTTTATTGACTCATTCATTTTCCAATAAGGCTCTGCGTGCTTTAGGCCCACACCTCATCTCAGATTCTTTTTCACTTCCTTTTCTATGTCTCATGCTCAGAATTGCCCAAGAAAAAATAAATAAATAAAATGATGTGCATAGTGGTGTAACTGCTGGTGCTCATGATATTAGTGGTGGTGGGGACAGGCACTGGTTGGCTTGCAGACCAATGCCAGGCCTAAATGACGCAGGCTGGGGTTCAGTGGTGAGACGAGCAAAGGGGTGGGACTGTGGGAAATACAGTTTGAAAGAACATGGCTAAAAGGAGGTGGAACTGTGACACCATTAGCATGTTTTTACGCTGGTTATGGTTTCATCACGCTAAATTAAAGATACAATTTACTAATAAAAAGTATTCTCTCCATGACTGGTTTTAGCTGAACTGTTACGTGTACTTGCATACTTGACTGCGCAGAAGTTTTCTCAGTTGTTTTACACTGCTGGGTTGCAGCAGATTAATTAGTCCTAAGGGTAGCATTTATTTTTAAAACGCTTGATGCATTTTTATGTGTCCTGGGAGAGTTTGAAGACAAGAATAACATTGTTGCCTTTTCTGTAAATTGCAAACAAATCACAAAAACTGAAATCTGCTCTGCTGTTTACTTTTTAAAAAATTAAATAATACGTATATATATATATATATATATATATATATATATATATATAT